AAGAGATGGAGAAAGAGAGAGAGAGAGTGGAAGAGAAAAAGAGAATGAGAGAGTGGGAGAAAGAGAGAGAATGAGAGAGAGGGAGAGAGAGAGAGAGAGCCGAGTACGATGCATTGTACGTGTAGTTAACGCGTTATTTATAATACTACATACATTCACGCGGTTAATGATTGGTATAGCCGACCAACACTTTTGGTGTATAGGCACGAACAATGCAAACCCGCCTGAAAATTTAAATATATCTAGGCCGGGGGAAAGGGAACGAACGTGCCCTTTGCGTCAGAAATTCGATGAACTTCTTTTTTTCTGTTTCACTGGTGAACTTGTTGCAAGAGATCTGACGAGTTCATCGAAATTCAGGGACAACGGGCCGTGATATGATAAGGATGCTTACCGGCTAAAAACAGCTAAACAACGACGATGCTCGTGCACAGGAGAGAACGATGTACGACGTTCGAAGCCACTCGTAAATACGAATTCATGTACGCGTACACTGAAAACAAATTAGACCACGAAATATAATAATGTCCCGTGTGTTTACACGCGGGCTTTGTTCAGTGCCAAATAAGAATGATGTCACTGAATGACGCACGCAGAATCGGCGTACGCGTGCTACTAGCTTAAAGAACACGCCGAGGCGTGAGATTTGAATTTCTATAGTTCCTATAATCCATGTGATCCGTTAAGATAAAGGTTTTCCGTTGAGATCGACAGTCGAAAGTGAACGCAAGAGAGATTTTCAATCGAAACGATTATTTACTTTGAGCTTTTCTTTTCCTTTGTTAAAGAGAATATTGAATTGTTTAATGGATAGACGGATTTGTGTTCCTACCTCTGACAGTTATGAAAGATAAGCGTGAATTGTGAATATTAAAAAAAAGAATGGTTCAATTTGTCGTATATTTGAAAGGTTTTTGTTTATGTACAAATGTAACTAGAGAAATATTATTTTATAAATTTTTAAATATGGTTTGATAGACACATGTTCTTAGGAGATTCGGATAACAAAATGTATACATATAATGATAGTACAATACTGATATGATATTTGATTTTATAATTTTTTTTAGTACGTGGTTTTTCGTTATACTAAAACTTACTGTTAATGCAAAGAAAAGTAATATAACAAAATAATGATATTTTACGGCACAGATCTGTGAGATTAAAGTAGATTTAAGGTAATGCATAAAATAAAAGTTAATATCAATGTAATATAATCAATATGCTCTCTGGAAAGTTATCGTATTCAGAAAATATTTGCAGCCTTCTAATTTTTATTACCTGATGTCCTGTATATCCAAACGTGGCTGTTACATATTTAAAAAATGGAGTGGTCAGTTTTACATAATAAATAAGTTATAGGAAAATTTGTATGGTACATGTACGTATGAATATCAATTTAAAACCATAGCAATGAGATTTCAGTTATAACCTGTTGCTGCTTTACGGCATATGAAAAAATGACAGACATAGAATTATAGAACATAATTATAGAATAATAATATAATTGTATATAATTATAAATTATAAAATTTTTATAACATAATATCTTTATATAATCACAGTTATTTTAATTCTGCTGTGGTGGTTGAGGATCATTTAGATTTCTTTCTAACTGTTGTATCATGGTTTCAACCAACTCAGGGTTGGAATTTTGCATTATTTGCATTATTCCTCGATAGCTGAAAATATTGAAATGTAAATGAGTATTCAGGAATTAGTGTGCATATAAAAGGAAAGTACTCTGTACTTACATATCAGCAAGTGATCCCATTTCTGATCCTGTTCTTTGTTCTGTATTACCGGATAAAAAATTTCTCATTACATTTATCATCTCTGGATTGGATAATGATGTTTGAATTCTACGAAGAAGAGTAGGGTTAGTCATAATGGAAGTTAAATGATTAATATTAAACGAATCTCCATCTAATCCCATATTATTCATTCTTTGCTGTGCTAATTTCTCTACAGCCACTTGTAAATTGTTCTTATAACTTTCATTATCAGGTTCCATCTCTAAAGCTTTTTCATAACTTGCTTTAGCTTCTTTGTCTTTTTCCATGCTAGAGTATGCTAATCCCAATCGCCCATAAGCCTTACTATAAGAAGGATCAATGGATAATGCAGTATGGCAATCATTGATTGCCTTTTGATGACTTCCCAATTTACTATATGCTGCTGCACGGTTACAATAATATACTGCATTGCGACCATTCAATTGAATTGCCCTAAACGAAAAACATTTTAATACTATGCATCTTATTAACAAAGATATATCCTTTTTTTTATGATTATATACAAATTCTATACTTTGTGTAATTAGCAAGAGCTTCTTGGAATTTCTGAGCTTTCATGAAATTGTTTCCTTCATTTTTTAATTTTTCTGCTTCAGCTTTCGCTTCAGGTGTAGCTTCTGGGGGTAGCTCGGGTTTTGCAGTTTCAACTGCAGATTTATATACTTCCAATAAATTCACATTTGACTGAGTATCGGATGCTTGCACGCTATAAGCACTTTCCAAACATTGTATTGCTACTTCAAGACTCTCCCGTGAGTCTTCAGTAATAGTTTCATCCTCTAACTGCTGAGTTAAAAACTGAATAATTGCTGCAATTAATCCTTTGACAGCCATTACCACGTAAAATCACTGTCGTATCTGAAACAGAAAGTAACATTATACAGTATGCAATGAAATCTTAACAATACATTTCTAAATGCACGTCGTAACCTCTACAAAATTTCTTGATCATAATTTTCGTCAGGAAATTGAAGATTACCGATTAAAGGGACAAATCTTACATCAACCATATACTTCAATAAAATTATCATACAAATCCTATTACTAAATCATTAAATTCTTTATTATCTCAATTCGTCGTTCGTTAACATAACCCATAAAACATACCAACCGAAACGAGATTTAATTAAACGTCTCCAATTATATTAAAAAAAATTTCAGGCTAACAACAAAATATTTACCAGCAGATTATGAAACAAAGTTATTCCCTCCAACAAATCTAATTGTATATCGACAGTTATACGCAGTTCAAAATCGTCACTGATGTGTCACTTTTTAACTATTTTCAGTGCCACGGGTCTGCATAAATCTGGTTGAAATACATACTGCTTACATATGCCAAGTGGCGTAATCGTACTTTCATCGTTTCAACCGGAAAAATGTGGGGCGGCACGTTCTTCTAATTCTACGTTAAAATAAAACTACGTTTTCCTTTATTTTTCAACGAGACATTAAAGAGGAACCGATAAATAAATAAATAAACTGTACTCAGCTCTACGAACCGATAGGTTAGGATTTCCAAGTACTAAACAGAGGACGCGCAATCGCGCCGTCTCGCACTCGAGGCAGTTAATGTCTCCTGGGTAAAAACCGAATGCTTTTTCGTTCGTTTTTTTACATTATAAATACCTTAAGATTTAAGGAGCGACGTTGCAACGACAAATCTGTTGATTTCAATTTATTCCAATGAATGCCACTCGCTCAGAAATGGAGATTACAACGCTCGCGTCTCGCCGGTCAATAAATTGTGTTATCAGGGTTTCCAGAACAGTCCAGAAGAGTTCCCCACTACCAGTCTCTATTTTCCCCCGTACTCCCTCGACTGTGTCACAGTCGCTAAGCTCAGCGTTGCATCGTGCCCAGCATCATTGCATAGTGTCCCTAGACAGCAGTAGAGGGGAGATAACATGGTGCCATTTATAACCGAGGCGACGCTTCAACCGACGGTTAACGTGTTTGAATAATTTGATTTATTTGCTTGCAGAGACACTACCATCAGATAAAAGGAATCAGGCAAGGGAAATATTTAATGTCGCTTCATTGGTAAAATGAAAGAAATAATTGTATAAAATATATTTCTAATAATAGGTATAATTTATAGTTACTAGCACTGCTAGTGATAAAAAGCAAAACTACATAACAGCAGAGAACAAACTCTTACACTATAAAGGAACAATTAAGTACTTCATCCATATGGAAAGATGGCGCAATAAGATTATATTTTCATGATTACATTTTCAAATGCATTCTCAAAAAGAACCAAACAATGAAAATGAACCAGAGGACAGTGAAAATGGTCGTGACCAATAGTTAAAAGTCCTGTAAAATTATATGTATCCAGTCTTATTGCACGTGTTTTTATGTATTGTATATATATTGCCACTACTACGTATTTATATTATATAACTCTTCTGTAATAATAGAATATAAATACTGCAATTGTATCGACAGTACATCCGCTTCTATTTGCTTAGCATTATGTTACACGAGCATAATAGTGTACCATTTTGGAAATATAAATAAACATCACGCTACAGGTACACTACGAGCTAACACAGTAGGGGCTAGGAATTATCATAAAAATGTTAATGGGGACCTTGTTCTACGATTCTCAGTATCGTACTGTTTACGCTTGTGCCCGCAAAAATGTAACGACCTCCCGCGTAGGAAAACGGGACCATAATTTGTAGATCGTCCATTCGATGATGCACCGTCATCCGGAATTTCTGTGAACGGTCATTTCACGAAGTGAACGGAGGATAAAATTTAAGTATACCGCATTCCGTAATGAACAATCCTACCTGTGCGAACATGTACTCGTAAATATAGAAGTAATCATTTTCCGTTGTGACGATGACGAAAGAATCGCTATGACCAGGATCTGAAACACATAAAAAAGGTCTTTCGAGTTTATCGGTATATCTATGATTAAATTATTAATATCAATGACAAAGTATAGTGTTACCTTCAACAATAACAATAATACTAATAATGTAATTAACACGACTGCCACAAAGAACATCAGCGTTTTATCACTTATCCTTTCTATAGCAAAAATATAAAGTAAGAATTCTTATTTCTTTCTTATAAATAAATTCTTATATTACTCTATTATCTAGTTATCTACATTGCGGAAAATTTGTATTCAAAATTATCTTCCAAGTGATAATTATTTTCTTGTAATTACTATTTGACAGCTCCGATCATCGGTGACCACTGTGGCAGTCAGTGTTAAAATTCTGATGGTTCTAGCGTTAATGCTGTAAATAATAAGTAGAACAGGAGTACTTATGTGTGCGCGAGCATTGTTACACGCCGTTCTCACCGTCCGCATAGAAGCACGCGATCCCGTTCACCCTCGAATCGTGAAAGAGACTTTGATAATTATAAAAATTATCGAATTCCGGATCATAGTAGAACACGTTCACCGCGTTCGTGTCGTAATCGTCCAGCAGAATGAATTGATCCTTTTCCTGAGCCAGGCTCTTCACGTTGCGGGTTCTGCCTCCGAATGCTCTCAAGGTCACGAACTGGCCAGAACAGAAATTCGTCGTTAGCACGTTCGCGGACAGTAGAAATTTTAATGAGCCGCAATAATAGGAAAAATGCAGACGCCGTTCTTCAAGGGCTAAAGTGTACAATAATTTCAAACAATTAAGTCCATATAGAATTAAATTCATGACAATGTGGCTTATAACTTTCAAATAGCATTCATGTCGTTTTGCATCACAATGAAAATGAATGCTACAGCATTCACGTCCGCGAGCGTGTTAACTTCTCTGACTACCTGAGACGTAGTTCCGTCCAGTCTGTACAAGAAAGACGTTTCCGAGTTTCCAAAGCAGCCCAGCAACAAGTACACATAGCGATAGTTCAACTTGAACACTTCGACGTCCCAAGCACCGTCGGTGGGAAGCTTCTGGTGTAACGACAACGAGTTCTTCTCGAAGTCAATCTTGTAGACCAAGGAATCGGTTAGGTGGGACGCGCGCGAAGAGTCGTAGTAGATCGCCAGAACCACGAAAGCTGCATCTAGAAGCAATCGGGGATCAAGGATCGGAGATCGATCGTTTCCAAGGTCTATCGCTGGATACTGCAGAGGTCTGCCAAACATGTGACAAAACTGTGTTGTCAGTACTTAGATTTTGAAATGGCTTAGGACTGACTGACCGGAATTCCTCTAAACAATGTGAAATAGCTTAGGCTTACGTCATTGGGATTCTCCTAAAAAAATGAGAAACGACGTAGGACCAGGTTACCGGTGTTCAGCTAGAGAATCTCGAATGACCTAGAACTGTTAACTGTTTAACTAGAACTACCGCACAGTCAGTCTTCATTTTACTATAAGAATTATAAGAATGTTTAAGATTTCATGTCTCTCATCTTGTACGTTACTAAATCAAGTTACTTAATTTCTTTGGGCGTTTGTATTTTTTCAATACTTATGAAAGAAGAGATCAAGAATGGTAGTTCTGGTGTTGATTCTGTTACATACTGTCGTCAGTCATAAAGACCGTCGCATCCTTGAGGAACCCCCGGATTTTGAAAGACGTTTCCTTCACGTTGGCCAGAACGTCTCCAGTGTCCATCATTCCCGGCTTCATCCACGAAATCGTGGTGAACTCGTCTTCGCCGTTGGCTAGAGTACACCCCGGCCCACTGGAGACCGTGTTCGTTATCACGTTCACGCCGAACGTGCTGTGCAGTTCGTGATAATTCCGTACTGTCGTCGAGCCGTTCGTCCTCCAGACGGAGCAGCCGTTCTCCGTGAGCTCGGCCACGTACTCGGTCGGACAGGAGCAATTACTGGACAGACCGCAAAGAGGACCAGCCTCCTCCCCAAATATATTCAATTTCGTGGTCTCCTCGTAATAGGCGACGTCCGCAGCTCTAGCGTTAGGCACGACGATCTTCAGCTTCTCCTCCGTCTCTAGGTACATGAAAATATTCCTCAGGTTCTCGGCGGTCTTCGAGGACCACGCGATGCTCTCGTCTATTTCCATCTCGTTCTGCTTCAACGTTCGAAGCGTCCTTTGCGTTTCTTCCTTTAGCTCGTCGAGGATCGTGGCTAAATTCATCCCGTTCACCAATCCTGATACCGTAACGTCTTCCGGGACTTTGACTGTCGACTCGAACACCTGGAACCATGGGACCATACATAAATATTCAATCCTAATCACATACCGTAGAAACATTGTTACATCCTTCAATTACCAAGTCTTACCAAGTCTCCAGTGATTTCCACGTCCTCGTCGTTCTGCACGCCACTGGAGTACTCCGATGATATGTCCACACCATTCAACAACGACGTTTCAACGTCACCTTTCACCTGAAGATTTTCTGCGAAGGTCTTCGAACCGGATATGACCTGCGTCCCTTCTACCCCGTTCAGGATCAAATCGGCGGGATCTATACCGTTGATCCGCGTGACCGTTGCGTTCCCTGCAAGTTGTTTATCAATGTTGTTCACGCTCGGTGTCACAAACTGAAACACCGTTACGTCAACGTTCCTCTAAATCTTTCAAGGAATCGTAGCTCAAATAACTTTATGAAGCCATCGACCATTACCTTCAACAACCACCCTCAGCTGTTCGAGGATTAGCATTTCTACATTTTAGATATTTACTCTTTGCATGTTTTATTAGGGTTAAGGCGCTTCATACAGTTTTTCACCTGCTACGGTCGAGGCACGCGAAATTTCCATGACGTCACGCGAAGGTACTCTCGATACCTGCAGATGACCGATGGACTTGGAGGCGGTCAACTTTCCGGTGATTGTCACCAATCAGGAAAAACGGCCTCCTCCATGTCCAAAACTTGTAAGTCTAGGAGACAACCAATCCGCGTGTCTCATCCCCTGATACTACCCTTACAGCAACCTATTTAAGGGTAGACCTTAGCACAAAACGCAGAATTTCTAATCAAGAGTTCCACAAACACAACGCACCGACGGAATTTCTAATCAAGAATTGCACAACAACACATATCGACGGAATTTTTCATCAAGAATTCCAAAACAACACATATCGACGGAATTTCTCATCAAGAGTTCCACAAACAACACGAATCAACGGAATCTCCAACGAAGAATTCCACAACTTAACGTATCAACATTGATCCAATTACAACTCAACGAAAATCTCATTAAAATCTCATCGCCGTAACTGCGACGCTCAACAAACGTTATAAACCATCGAATCGGTGCCATCCGCGGTACCTGTTACTTCGACGACACCGTTGAACTGCACGTCAGCAGTTACGTCGTGATCCCCGTGGATGGTTACTCGGTCCTTCAGGAACTCGTCGAAGTCCACGCCGTCCAGGTTCTTCAGGTACACGCCTCTCAGCACGACCAGGTTCTTGAAGTGCACGTTGGGAGGCAGTACGTCAGTCGCTCGGACCACTCCTTGCAAGGGTATGTTGTGGGCCGTGTCGTTCACCAACAGTTCATTGATCGCGACTTCCGCGTCGAACGTTAAATGACCAGTTATCGTTTCATCCTGGTCTCTCCGGGCCACGGTGTTGTTAAATTCGACGACATCGATGTCGTTGACCATTGGAACCGCCATATCACCGGTCACCGACAGACTGTTGACGCGTAAGTTGTTCTTGAACGTTTTCTGACCGGTTACTTCGATGTCTCCTTCATGATCCTTCACTGCGTCCGTCACTATAGCGCGTATCCTGTCGATGTCCTTCCACTCTCCGTTCGCAGTCGACACCGACACGTTCTCCTCGAAGACAACGTCGCCGTGGATGGACTGATCGGTCGTTCTAGTCACCGCGTTTTTGAATAAAGAGGACAACGAGGTTGGACTCGACGAAGCTGCGTTCCAAAATATGTCTCCGTGCACAGTTAGGCGATCGATGGTCTTTGCCGGCACGTTCAATAAGTTATCGTACAACTGAAAGGAATTCAGACGTTAGCGATGATCACTTAAACAAATGGTAGAATTATTTTGTATCCGACGAACTGTAGACAATATGCTTTTAACACGTTCACGCCGGCGTGTACCATTGATGGCTCATTAGACGATGTAGCATCAAATATGTGGCGTCAAATGGTTTGGTAATTAGAATTGCCATATAGTTGAGAATTAATTTACTTACTGATCATTTCAATACTTTTATCAATTTTGAGAATTCAGTCGCCAAGTGGGAAAGAATGGAAATTACACGGTGTGAACGTGTTACCCTCTATGGGCCGAATTTTGTTTCGCCATTATAACAAAATTTATGCAGTATGAAATTAATAATACCAACATATGAACACAAATTTAAAATGCATTCAATAGTTCTAATATTTTTATTAAAACGAATATATTTTGTAACTTTGAAGTTGCAATGACGTTGAACGTAAACTGCGTGTGTAAACGTTTAAGTGGATTAATCATTTAATTCGTCATTTTGCAATAAGAAATTAAATAAATCAATTGAAGTGACTTCAAAGTTAGAGCTTATAGAGGGTTAAATTACCTCGTGGATCTCCCGTCCGTTCACAGTCCTCGTCGCGACGTTGTTCACAGACAGATCATCGAACGTGACGTCCCCAAAAAACAAGGGCTCGTCGATCCAGCGTAATCCCGAGCTATCGCGATCGTTGATGAACCTGACAACAGCGTTCCCAGCGGACATTCTATTGAAAGAAAACTGACCCGGCACGATCTGCTCCTTCGATCGCGAGAACACACCCTTGAAGAGATCATTCACACCATGGCCGTTTACAAGCCTGAGCGTCGCGTTCTGTACGATCAGCTCGTCGATCGTCTTCTCCGAATCGAACACGACGTCTCCTTCGGCCATGTTCCTGAGATAGACCTCCGGCGCTTGGCCGTCGATACGTCGGACCCTCAAGTCTTCCACCGTCAGATCGCCGTCTATCGTCAAATTCTTCAAACCGGACCTCAGAATATTCTCCCACAACTTCAACTTCCCCATTTCAATACCGTTGATCCTCTCGACGCGCAGATTCTCGGCGCTAAACCGTGGACTCTTATGGAAGCTAATCGACCGATCATTCTGACCGTTCTCCGCGCGCTTCATGAACGCGTCACGGTCCTCGCCGTTGAAGGACCGGAAGTAGAGTTGATCCACGTTGACCCGCTTCGCTCGGATCGCGGAGAAGTCCATCGTCTTCGAGAAATTCTGTGTCCGGTCTCCAGACACTGGAAGCCCGTTGAAACGCTCGGCGAACAATTTATCCGCTCGGAGGTGCGTCAGGTGCAGTCCGCCTCGAATCGTTAGCGATTCTGGAGCGTCGTCGAACAACGCGCCGTCCTCGCCCTCCGTGGAGAACACGTCGTCGACCTCGACGTCCCGGAACAGGAGGTTCCCGAACGATTCCGGGATAACCGCCGCGTCGGTGTACAAGAACTCTCTTTCGGCGAATCCGTTTAAGCGCTCCGCGGATAAGCGGTCGATGGTCACGTCGTTCTCGAAAGCGACGTCGCCCGGTATCTCTTGATCGGTGGATCTCGTCCAGGAGTCTTTGAACACGTTGCCCAAGTCCACTTCCTCGCCGTCCAACAGTATCCTCGTGTATCTGTCCATGTCGAGGACTTTCACCTTCAGGTCGGTGTGGATGGTAACGTTGTAATAAATCTGAACCTGCCGGCTCTTCGGCAGCTTCAGCTCCTTCTTCGACATGATTTTCTCCGTCACGTGCAGCTTGTTCAGTTTCAGCTTCCCTGTGGAGTTGAAAAGCGAAGTGAAACTCAATTCTAACGAAAATGTTAGCGAGTCGACGACTCTGGGAGAAACATCGATTGCCTTCGATGGTGTTTCGTTGGGACACGCGGGCTGCCTCGGACACTGGCACGCCGTTGATCGACTCCGCGATCAAGCGGTCCAGCTGAAGAGACTTCACGGAAAACCTGTCGAAAGTCTGATTAGTCGATGCAGTCATGTAGTCGTCTATCGATCGGTTGTTCAACGTTCGCGTCGTGAGATTGTAGGCTTGAAACGTGTTACTGTACACGAGGTCACCTGGAACAGTTGAATTCGGAGTTGAGGATGACCTCAAAACCGGAGGACATCATTGTCTCGTGCAAGTACCTCTGATCCTCTGGTTTCTATCGATAATAAACAACTCGTCGAGGAATTCGTCGACGACGAGGTCGTTTATCATCTTCACGTTCAATTCTGCCAAGGAAACGTCCGATCGTAGTTGCACGGTGTCATTGGAAAATTCGATGTCGCTTGCTTCTAGGTTTATCTCCATTCCGGATGATCCGTTGTTCAATGCCCAGTCTGAAACATCGGCTTCTGTAACGGTACACCTCGATCGCAATAAATTTTGCAATAAACATCGATCTTACACTTAAACGGAACGCCGCAAAGGGACTCGATTTCGATATCGTGTTCAACGGTATTCCCACGCAAGGCCGAAGATCCTCCCGCCACGTTCGACTCAGTGTTCGGCCGAACAGCAACGTCGTTCAGGAAGTCGATCTCGATCTTATCAATTTCCAACTGTTCGATGAAGGCACTGTCGCTGACGACAAGATTACCAGAGAACGAGTTTATATTGTCTGTCGTTAAAAGGTTCTCAGACATCATCAGCGTCTCATCGATCTCGTGAACTAGATCGTTTAGCCCTGCCTCAAGGTCGCGGGGAGCAATCACGTCCCCAGAGACGAAGAAATTGATGTTCTCCACGATCCCCGATTCCAAGATCAAATTTGGAATGGTCACAGGATGGGACGATGTTAGATTTTCATCCGCCGGGACCAAAGATGGCCACGAGGACTGCGCTTCATCCGCGAGCGACATCCTTCGCTCCAATACTTTCACCAAATCTAACAAATGCTCGGACAAAACGTCAGGCTCCTCTGTCAACTGATCTGGAAACGATATTTCATTAACAGAAACATTAGACGAAAGACTGCAGGATTATAGAGTAAGATAAAATCCAACCGGAAGGGATCTCTTTGATGTCCACCTCCCACGAGGCCACGGAATAGACAGCATCGCGGTTCACGGTGACCAGGGCCGCGGTCGCCTTTGACTTTTCTGTTCGAACTTGAACATCGACCACTGCTTCTCCATCCAACAGTTTCGTTGAACTCAGTAGGGCGCATTCCGACGCGTTCTCGAATTTGTATAGTTGCAACTGGTTCTACGACGATGAAGAAACAATAAAGATTACGAAGCAACTCAGCAATTACAAAACTGTCGTATTCGCCGAATTCGGGTGACACCATGATTCACATAAACTTAAACATCACTTTTCTCGGTGATGAACAAACCGAATTCTGTTAGATGCGAGATACTAGAGAGATAGTAGAGCAATCGTTACGAAGAATATTGATTTAGTTTCAGCGTTATTAACACGTTCCGGACCATTTTCTTAAGACTTCCCGTTCAGGCCGTATGGGGCGTATACGATCCTCACTTTCACAATCAATTAAAATTAAATAAACACAGTATATAATATTAAAATACCTATCATTGACTCTACACTAAATTCTGAAAAAGTTCTTTGTTTTTCAATGAGAATTCATTTTCGGTCTGAACGGAAAATTCAGCGTGGGTGATACACGCCCCACGGCACGGGACGTGTTAAGAAAATTACTCTGATTGCGCAGGAGTTTCGATGAGCGTATACTTGGCAGTCGAAGTGTTAATAACACTAGATTTACGGACGTTTATTCTACACTTTCGAAAACTACGCGTTCGTTTATATAAATCGCGGAAATTGTAGCTTCAAAACCAATCGCACGAATGAAAATCGACTTGAACTGTTACTGTATAATGTTTAAAAAATTCAATATCCGTCGAATCGACGGGTTCCGTAAACCTAGCGATAAGAACGAGGATCGTTGAGCTTACGGCGTTGCCCACGAGGAAAAAGGTGTCACCGTTCACAGCCGCTACGTGGATCGAGCTCGGTGCACTGATCTCGGGAACTTGCTGCCAATCCAACAGTTCTTGCCCTGAAAAAAGGCGATCGGAAAATAGTTCCGTTCCGTTTAGAGAATAGGAGATAATAGGCGGTTAAAGGGAGAAACGCACCGTCCCACCAGAACAGGTTGCTCGGTTTCCGTTTGTTCATTAGGAAAATAAAACTGAAGCCCGCGTGATCGTAGTAATGAACGGAGACGGGGTCGACGGTCGGCAGGAACTGTATCCTGCTCGTGCCGGTTTCCTTGAACTCGTAGACCACGGAACCGATATTAGGAACCAGCTGACTGTTCTGCGCGAACACTATGATAGTCGAGTCCCTGTGCTTGAACGTGGCCACCGAAACAGCGGCGGTGGTTAGCGCTTCCGCCACCGTATCCATGTACGTTCCTCTCCAATGGTATATCCTGCGCCACAGAACTAGCTTCAGAATTCGTCGAATCGGTCCAGAAAAGAGTTGACTCTCGAATCATCCCCTATTCTGTTGAGAGAATTTTCGATGACCAACGTGGCCAGCAATATGGACCTTTCACGATCGAGATCGATTTTCTATTACAGTTGAAGATTTGAAGAAATTCTGGGATACTCTAGTTCATTACTATAGTTCATTCAGAACAAATATTTCGCATCTCTATGTTATAAACAATGCTACAAGTGCAGTAATAAGGCAATTCAATCGAATGATTTAATATTATATTCTAAGATACTCTAGTTCATTACCATAGTTCATTCAGAACAAGTATTTCACATTTCTATGTTATAAACAATGCTACAAGTGCAATAATAAGGCAATTCAATCGAATAATTTAATATTATCCTTCCATTTTCTGTACTTTGCTTAACACGTTGAACGCCGCACGATTTCATAGAGCAAAATACACAAAATGAAAGAAAATATTAAATCATGTGACTGAATTGGGTTATTATTATTCGCACGTTCATCCAGCTGAATGTCACCGCAATGGGTAGCATTATTTATAATATAAAAATGTTTGCGAATGATCATCGTTTAATTGAGTGAATTGTAGTAATTCGATTTGCTTGGGTGTCACCGGTGACCCCATGGCATTCAACGTGTTAACAGTCCATATTGCCAGGGTCGACCCTTTGCACTCGAGAATATTTTCCTCAAGATATATTCATTATTTCCTGATAAGATATCAATGATACTTTTTACAACTGACATAAAAAAATACCTTCTGTAAATTCAATGACAGAACTATATTTTGATGTTCCATGTGTTGAAACATTATACAAAATTTAATATTGAATCTGAAATTTCATCATTTCTTTGGGTTGAATCCACTCTCGAGTGCAAAGGGTTAACGCTAAAACTACCAGAGGGGTCAAATGACCCATGATGTCTTCTTTTTGCAATTATTAGGAAGGTAACAAATGTTTCTCTGAGAAATCATTAAAGAAACTCATTTAGCACCATGCAAATTGAATTGTAAATCAATTAAAGACTGAACAGACGCACTCTTGGAGTTTCTATAGCGAAATTTTCAAAAGTCAATCGAAGTGCTCGGTGGTTTTAGCGTTAAGTTCGATTGAAACAGCTTACAAGGATGGCACAGCGAACCACCCCGAGTTGTCGGCGACCACGAGATAAAGACGATTCTCGCGGACAAAGAAGCTGGCGTCCATCGGCAGTCCCTTGTGCTGAATGGTTTGCCGGTGTTTCAATCGGAGGCCTTCCGCTCCCGTGTACAAGTCGCACGGACTGCTCTGCGCGTCCGACGAGTAGCAAACCAGCAGATAGAGCACTGTCTTCCACACGACGCTCTGCGAATATTGTTTCGTGACGCGGGATGATCAATTCTCTTTTATCATCCTCGTTCTAATAAACCGGGATTAACGAATCCTCTGAATCTTATGAATATAAGACAATGGAGAACGGGCATTGTCTAGAACGCTCGGTGGATTCGCGGTGTGAACGGTATTCTATTGTGGACGCGATAAACATCGGCGCGTCGTCAACCGCTCGACGGAACTAGCTAGAGCAATAGAGCTCGATGAAACATTCAAGAGCGAGCGGAACGATCGGTTCCTCTTTCTCTTGAAATCCGGATTTCACAGGGATCGACGAGCTTCATCGCACACGGAAGTACAAGTGAAAGCCTGTTTCTCCATCGACTGTGTTCGATTAGGGTAGACCGAGGCGAGTCGAATCGCTTTCTGTTCGACGAAGAAATTAACCCTTTGCACTCGAGAGATTTGACCCATGAAAATGATGAAGTTTAGAATTCAATGTTCAATTTTTATATGATGCATCTACAAATGGAACATCGAAATAGTTCTGTTACTCAATTTATGCAAGGTATTTCTTTATGTTAGTTGTGAAATATATCATTGATATTTCATCAGAAGATAATGAGTATTTATTGAGAATATTCTTGAGTGCAAAGGGTTAACGCTACGCCATCCAGCGTGGTGTCGCGTGCGAAGCTATCGAAATTTTGCGAAAATGGAGAGACAGTATTGAGAACTATTGAGATTAGTGAAACTTGACGTTCGATGATCTCTCGGAAATCTCGAGAAATCCTCGGCGGCAATGATCCGAACGAAAGATTCCTGATTACACGTGTGGACAGCATAGTGTTCATGCTTGAACATTAACCCTTAGCAGTCCTAAATATTCTTGAATAAATAAATAGAACGTCATATTAAGCTGTAATTGAATCAACTAACGTCGACGTGAACTTCAAAGTGAGAAATCAAGAGCACTTCGGACCGCAAATGGTTAACGTCGTGCCACATTTTAATAAAATATTAACATATTGTACATGGAACGTGTTAAGCATAGAAAGTGAGAAAGAATGTTTTAATTTTTCATTCGCAAATGGAAGGCAAGAAGTGAGTATTATTCTTGCAGCAAATGTGAACTGGATTCTTATCTCGATTCGCTCTGTGATCCGATTCGCCTCGGTTTACTATACTCGTTTGCTGTGAATACTACCGGTGAAGCAAGTATAGCAATTATGGTACAGCAATTATGGTGAATTATTAGGTAAACAAAATATACGGTGTACAGGATCCAAGAAGGAGGGCACAAGGAAATCGCTACGTTTGTGCCACCGTTAATATAACACAATCCAGTAAAAAGATAAAAAAAAGAAATCGCCGCGTTAGTTCGCATACTCTGATGAATTTAATGGAACCATTGTCACGCCGCAAATTGACTTCCCCTAACGACGTACGATCCGAAGGTAGCGAATCAGCGGGGAACGTTGCGACGCGGCTCCCTTCGACGAAGAATATTTTGTTCAAGGCGTTCACGACGAAGGGCCGTTCCTTGTCGAAGCTCTTCCTCCATGGACTGTTCCATTGCACGTCGTACAACTTTTTCTGAACTGTAAATTCAATACCGAAGAATGAAACACATTGCTCCGATTATAGATTCGTTTCTCATCGATTATCGAAAGGTTTGTGTTTATTAGATCCTTTAACGCGTTAACTCTCTAAGCCCGTGTAACTTTGAAGTCACATCAATAGACCAGGTTAAAGAGAGTCATCTCCCGAGTGCAAAGGGTTAAAATGTCAACGCCAGGACTACTAGTTCACCCATTTCAGAATTTCTATTTCGCAAGTATTGCAAACATGTGTATTAGTCGCTGAAGAATTAATTTCTGCGGATACAAGGATAACAGGTCCTCTAAATCGCAAGGAATGTATAGTGATATCGACACAAAATTAGAAGTGAATCATTACACAGTGTTAAATACATATTCATCGATCGGATCGCGTTTACCTGGCGGCGATTCTTGAAAATAGAGCTTGGCTATCTCGATTTTCGTTTGCTTCAACTGCTCATCCAACTGGTCGTGCAGCGAACTGTCCACGGCGGGAACGGCGGCGCAACCGAGAAGAAGCTGAAGCCACGAGAATTTTAACGAGAGTTGAAGAATATTTCTTTGTTCCCCGCAATTATACACGGATAGATTGTCGTTGAACTTACGAGGATCGTTAAGGGTGCCATAATCCTACGGCACCGGTTCGTCTAATCGCGGAGAGACTTACCGGTTCAACTGATCCGAACCACCGGTTGTGGATCATCGGATAGGTACACAAACATTGTATCGAGTATTGTTTTGTAAACAATGTAACGGGTGCTGTTAAATTCGAATCGGGCTCGAGAAGGGAACGGCTTTGTCTCTGGAAATGGTAAGTATCGAGAGTGACGATTTGCTTTTTCTTTAACCAATTAACTGTGTTTGACGAGTATACACGTCGTCGTAAAGCTCGACACGGTACTAATTCCTCCAGCGATGAATTCTTTAGTTTTTCACGTAAACATGTAATTCTTTGTTTCGCTTTGATCTTTAAAATATACTCTACGCGTATTCGTCCTGCGTTCGGCGAGTACACGCTCCATTTTTTTATCTTATTGCGAGAACCAGAGGTTTTTCCAAGTAAATTCCACAGTCAACTGGTTAATGAAGAATGATTCATCGTTGTAGCTTCGAGATCCATGATATTAAAGATTTTACGGTGGTCTCGTGTTACTCGATCGTAGATCCAATAAAGTTATTAAATAATAAAACGAATGAATAACAAATCGACTTTATTATGTTCATTTAATATTTTTCTTTTTACTTGATAGCTTGTTATTATTTAATAACTTATTCCTTACTATAAATTTCATAGAAAAAGTTGCATCCTTGTACTGAACAGGTCCTACACAACTTCCGGTGGGGACCCTCTATTCCCCATAGAATAAAGATCAAGTGTTATACAGGTTTGGTGGGTTTCGTTTTTGGGACTTGTTCTGCACCCTATGCGCTCCTGCGTATGCATGCCGAATATAAGTACGCGGTGAACAGTTTATCTTTCGGCGGGAAATCACCTTAAGCTGATGAAATTCATTCTTACAGCCTCTACGTATATTCCTGTATTATCTAGAAAATGTCAAATAAACATTAGAGTCCATCGATTTTCCCAAACGATTAAATCTTTCTATTTCAGTTCAGAAACTGAATGGCACTTTTCTATTTTCCCATTAAAAGATCATTCCTTTTTCCATTTCTACGCAGAAAATAACAAAACCAAAAATGAATAATTCAAAGGAAGACAAATAAATAAAATTAATTCTACGAACCGACAGAATGGCACTTAGTACAACAAAGAACCACCATCGCTCTTCTTTCGTTTCAGTTCGGAAACTGAATGGCACTTTTCTATTTTTACATTAAAAAATTGTAAATACCGCGTTTTTCCATTTCTAAGCAGACAATAACAAAGCCAAAAATGAATAATTCAAAGGAAGGAAATAAATAAAATTAATTCTACGAACCGATAGAATGGCACTTAGGCAATCTAACACAGAAGCGCGATCGCTGGTACTCAAACGGTTCAACTAAAATCTCCCTACGAAGAGAAACAGTCGAGAACTTGCCGGATCCAGGTCCTCCTCCCTGGAATACTCGCCGTCCATCTTTAAAGAGTCTAACCCTAAAAACCATGGGCTTAAAAAACAAATAATCACAAATACATTCCCCTGCGACATGGAATCCATCATAGCCGTCGGAACTTGTAAAATCGTGGGGCCCGCGGGCCCAAAACAAAGCAGCACGGCCATCGATCTCGAAACGTCCAAAGACGCGAGATCCTTCGACGTTCTACTCGATCTCTCTAACCGTTCGTTTCGCCCGTTAGATGGCGCCAAAGTGGTCAAAACGATCTTCTGGTGAGCGCGACACGGCGCTCGCGATTGGTGGATATCTCATTCGAGATCGTGTGCCGGATTGGCTCATGGATCCCGATCAAAGGATCTCCGCGAATCCCGATCTCGGTGTCTGTCGGCAGCGGGCCGCACGGGGACTTACGAGGAGCAAAGGCGAACGGTGCCGGTCATAGGTATTATCATATTGGGGTTGGTTGTGTCTGCGGAGCGCAAGAACTTTCGGGCCATTGTCATCGCGTTCGACGAGAAAGCGGGCGACGGGGTCTCGCTCGATCTACACTTGTATACATATATATATATATATATATGTATGTATATATAGATGTGTGTATATAGAAAAAAAAGGACATATATGTGCATGCATATATCGCGCGATAATACACACGAGTAGCGAGAGCAAAGGGAACGGCTACGTGCGTGCGTCGTCGTGCGTGCCAGTGTGTGCGGGTGCGTATCCGATCGGTGCGTGTATGCGAGGGCAACCGCGTGCGGGCGGTTCCCACACGTCCGTGCAACAAGTGTCATTAGACTCGGTGGAATATCGGTGCTGTACGGCGCGCGGTGGAAATAAAACCGACTGCGTTATTTCGAGGGGTCCGTGAAAGAGAGACCGCCGTGCATGGTGCCCTCGTTCTTCCACCTCCAGCAGCCAGCGAGAGAGAGGACCGTCGGCGAGGATGGGCTGCGCGGTGAGCACCACCGGCGAGAAAGAAGCCGCGGAAAGATCGAAGAAGATCGACAAGGATCTCAGAGCGGATGGCGAACGAGCCTCCAGCGAGGTCAAACTTCTGCTGCTCGGTAATCCGGACATTGTTGTTTCCTTCTGTATCCTACCGCCCGTTTAGCCACCGGTTTCACGCTGGAGCGTACATCCGTTGTCACCGATACTCTCGTCCCGTATGCCCGTCAGAAATCTACCTTCTTCTTCCCTCTGGAGGCTTCGATTCCGTTCGTAACGAAACGAGCCGTCTTGCACCGAACGGTCGTGTCGCCGCAGGAACACGGAGCAATTTCTGTTTTTCTCTGTCCTTGTTCCTCGGCGGGCCTCCGCCTAGCTTGTTAAACATTTCGGCGAGATTTTTATTTTAAACGGGGCTCCTCCCCCCTCGCGGCGCCAGTATTCTCACCGCTGCACCCGTCGATCATCGGATTTGCGCAATCGCGGAAACGGAGCGCGGGCGATTTTCCCGAAAACTTGAATCATCGGCTCGCGTGATTCATATCGGTAACGCGACGGTTTTCCTTCGCTTGATCCCTGGGTGACTCTCGAGTTGCTGTATGATACTCGTAATTGCTGTTACTCGCGGTTAGATGGATAAGAAAAAAGAGAGAAGGATGGAGGATGGATTGTATGCTATGCTGAATGAGAGATGAATAGGTTAACTATGCATTTTGTGTAATTGTTTTGTTCTTTTGAATTTTAAGGAGCGGGGGAGTCAGGAAAGTCCACTGTAGTAAAACAAATGAAAATTATTCATGAGACCGGCTATAACAAGGAGGAATGCGAACAGTATAAGCCTGTAGTATACAGTAACACAATTCAGAGTCTAATGGCAATAATTAGAGCCATGGGACAGCTTAGAATCGATTTTGTGGACCCTAATAAAGCGGTAGGTATCGTAGTTTTTTGGGAAGAATGTACCATATGTTATTGTATCGCAGAATATATTGGTATCGGCACGATCTTATTGTGTTCTAGGACATAGCACGCCAATTTTTTACTCTAGCTTCTGCAGCGGAAGAAGGTGAACTTACCGGGGAGCTGGTGCTGTTAATGAAACGGTTGTGGCAAGACCCAGGGGTACAGCTTTGCTATACGCGTAGCAGAGAATACAAGATCAACGATTCTGCAGCGTATTATCTTAATGCCTTAGATCGCATAGCTCAACCTAATTACATTCCAACTCAGCAAGATGTTCTCAGAACACGCGTGAAAACCACTGGAATAGTGGAAACGCATTTTTCTTTTAAGGGCCTACATTTCAAGTGAGTTAGTTTTTAGGTGGAGTTACAAATTCGTAGCTGTATATCTTTACTAAGATTTCCTTTTTCGTATTGCCAGAATGTTCGACGTTGGCGGCCAGCGGTCAGAAAGAAAAAAGTGGATACACTGTTTCGAAGGTGTTACTGCCATTATCTTCTGCGTCGCTCTGAGCGGGTACGACTTGGTCCTCGCAGAAGATGAAGAGATGAATAGAATGATAGAATCAATGAAATTGTTTGATTCTATTTGCAATAGTAAATGGTTCGTTGAAACATCGATCATTTTATTCTTAAACAAGAAAGATCTTTTCGAGGAGAAGATCACAAGGAGTCCTTTGACTATTTGTTTCCCAGAGTATAAAGGTGCAAATACGTATGAAGAATGTGCTTCCTATATTCAAATGAAGTTCGAGAATTTGAATAAAAGGAAAGATCAGAAACAAATTTACACGCACTTCACTTGTGCTACCGACACGACTAATATTCAATTTGTGTTCGATGCTGTAACTGACGTCATAATCAAAAATAATTTAAGCAATTGTGGCTTACTAAGTTAAACATTCCAATACTCTGTTGAATATGAAAGGGTAGATCTATGTCTGTGGTTTAAAAACTAATGCAAAAAACACGAAGGATACACGTGAGAGACTGAACAAGAATTGTTAGGACCAGAAATGTTCTGTGTATACTATCCCATCTGCCGATTGGGCAACATTTTACACTTTGGCATCTTATTCGATGTTCACGATATTTTTGTTTAGTATTATATAACGACTTAGTGGATCCTATTTGCCTCAACATCGTTTTCAGACTGGAAGTTCATAATATTTTATACTCTAACAAGGTAGTTCTTAATTTATTCGACTTCTTGATGCAACATTTGGTATTAAGTTGAAGTGATAAAAAAAAATTTGAAGAATCGCAAAATTAGTATATTATACTCTTACAGACAATAGCAGATACTATTTGCAAATGAAAGGATACTTGGTTTCTACCAATTGTATTTAGTATATTAACCAGAACCTAGTTAGATGTTAATTTAGTGATATCTTTTTGTATATAATTTATTCGCTAAAAAGACTCTGTTTTTACTGAATGGAAATATATTTCCATGATTGTGGTCAAAGCTATTCAACTTTTTCGTGAATGTTTATATTCTTATGACAGATACAGCTCTCTGTGACTATAGGATATATTTATACAAATGAAATTTGATAAAATTCTTTTTATATGTATTATTAAATAACATTTGAAAGGCTGTCATTATTGCTCTACCTTCCATACAAGACAGTGCTAAGAGTTAGAGATCTTGAGATTAATTCATTCTAATACTGAGATGAATGAATACATTTTTTAAATAAAAGTTAATGTCTTTTCTTTTTTTTGTTTAATTTTTATAATTCATGTTGTGAGATTTGTACAAAGGAAAATTTGTAATTTCGTACATTATGGAGAAGAGCAATAAAATGGCCATGTGTAATTTATTTAATGTA